ATATATATATATATATTGTTACAAAAAGTGCCTATACCATGGACGACTTAAAGTCATACAAATCACTGGATGCGTACAACCAGTTTGTTAGTGGCAGGAGTGTGGAGTCATAAAAAAAAAGTAATGACTCCGACTCCAGTTGTTGAAATTTTTTAAGCACGACTTATAACTCCAATTCAATATATATTCCATTTGTTTATTATTCGGTTCTTTATAAATAATTGAAAAATTATTTTGGTGCATATTACGTTTATAATTCGTCTTTCACAATAGTGTCTTTTTGTTTTCTTATGTATTTGAGTTTATCCATTGCCCTTAATCAAAGATTTCTCTGCTAGAAAATTGACATAATATCTTTATATTAAGAAGTATATGTTTAATTATTTAATTTCATATTGCAGTAATACAGTAATAAAAGTGTATACGCCCTCTACCAGGAAACTTTAGTTGGAAAGTGTTGCGAATTCAGACCTTTAGTTGAAAAATGTACACTTTTACTGTTTCAACATTTATTTAGACATTAGTCAGCAAAAGACGATTCCATTAATGCACTTCCTAGGTTTTTAGCTACATTGTACCCATGAGTTTTCGTTGACCTAAGAGATGAGCTTGGTACATCACTACCACTGGAAGAAATAGAAGAGTTATTGATCAAATTCTAAAAAGTAACACACTGCATACGAAAAAAGAAGAAAGCAAAGAAGCGTATGATCTTGTAGAAGAACATACCAGAAATCAAGCTACGAGAATAAGCTACGAAGAATAACCTGTTCAAATATGTAAAATATATGCATTACTTTACCCTTAAAACTAGCTATAAGCACAAAAAAAGCTATATGTTATCCTTCCTTACTTAAGTTTAAACTGCTACAGAATGGGGATGTCAACACGAGACTGAAGTTGTAGACTGCTACACCAACATGATCAAACATCAGCATATTGGATTCAAAATTTTGAAAAGTGGCTTATGCATTGACCACCAAAATTCATACTTAGGACTCATTAATATTTTGTGACTGCTGTGGCAAAGGAGTTTTGGAAGTAAAATGTCCATTTTGTTTTCGAGACATAGATATACAGGGTTGCATTGACAAGCGGTCATCTCTGGAGGAATTTAATGGTAAACTTAATTTAAAGAAAGCGCATGCTCATTACTATCACACAATAAGCACAAATATTTGTATGCAAAGTAGATTTTTGTGATTACTTTATTTGGACCAAACTAAGTTCGCACATGGAAAGGAAAAACCCTGATAGGCTTTGAATTTTAATTTACAAATTTTATATTATATAGACAGTTATACAGTACTTAAAACATAAATAAAACTGATTTTTTTCATTAAAGACCACAACCTGCTTTATTTGGTGAAGTTAATACTACTACATCAGTATGTGAAGCTGTTATTTCCATTCCAACGGACACAGGTGTCACTGATTGCAAAATGGATTTATTCTGTTTATGTCAAACACCCTATGATGACATGTATAATTACATTGGATGTGATAATGCAAGTTGCAAATACAAATGGTTTCAATATGAGTGTGTTAAAGTTAAGTCTACCCCAAAGGGTACTTGGTATTGCCTTAAGTGTTGTAATTTTCCACAGTATGTAAAGACAGTTGGATCAGCCAAAAGAAAAAGACTCACAAGAGAGTAGATTAACATTAAAAAAATAATAATAATTGATGAGTTATGCCTTTATTATTTATTAAATACCTACTATTACTCATTTTTCTATAGTTAACACTTATAAGTTTAAGAATAAAAAGGTTCCGAAATAGGGTCTCGGTGTGTTTCATGAAAAAAAAGCACTGCGTGTATACACACATATATTAAATCCTTTTGTATATTAAATATTTAAATTAACATAATTTACGTATTAATCCAAAGGTACAATTGATTTGCAACAATTAGTCAATGCACAACTCACTGAAACAATTTTGTCCACAGTTGGTATATTGTCTGCCTTGCACATTAAAAAATCGACAGGTAATATCTCTTGTAATATAGTATAGTTGTTTCTCGCAAGTCCAATTACTCTTTCTTATTAACTCTTAAATGGGCGATTTTTCTGGTGTTTTAATGTTATCAGTGGTAATCTTTATATATAAAATGGGCGATTTTTCTGGAGTTTCTTGATATATATATATATATATATATATATATATATATATATATATATATATATATGTATATATATATATATATATATATATATATATATATATATATATATATATATATATATATGTATATATATATATATATTTATATTATACATTACTTAGTACTTTAGAAAACAACTGATTTTATAGAGTTTTAACTTAAAAACAATTAAACTAATTATATTATAGATAAGGAATATTCTACATAAATTTAACAAAAAATAATCAATAAAAAAGAAGTTAAACTTAAGAAATGCTGTTACTAAATACGTTATACTAATAAACGCTCAGTTTGTTTACTTTTTTTTGCCATACAGTATGGCAGCCGCAAACTTTTACCATCACGTGATAGAAAACTATCTATCTTTCCACATCCACAAGTTTCCATTTTTAAATTTTCCACAGCCATTTGCTGTTAAATTTTGCTTATGAATAATACAATGCAGCTTAATTAATGAAAATTTGTTTTCTGCCATTTCGTTTTCCAGTGCAATAAGTCAAACTGTCAAGTTAAATTTTTTTTAAATGTTCTTAATGTCTAGCAAAATGTTTTCTCCTATTGTTCTACCTTGCCTTCTAAGTACGTAGATGTCAAGTAGCTCTGCAGTAACAAGAAAATTTTTATCAATATCTCAAATAAAAATATCCAATTGAGCAGTTTGTCATAAATCCGTTGATTCATCCATCAATAGCTACCGAAGTATACTAAAATGCCTTTTTTTTTTAAGCCAATAACAAACTCAAATCATTGGCAATATTACCTCTTCTTTGTGTAATTGTTTGTCTTGAAAGAGAGATATTAACATTTTCAATTATTCAGGATAAATAATTTTAAACACAATTTCAAGAGATTTCTTAATAAATTCCCCTAAACTCTAAAAGTAAAATTTATACTCACTTTGCAAAGCATGTTATAAAGAACATAATCTATGCTACGAAGAATGTTATAAAGAATACAATGTATGTTATAAAATGTTACAAAGAGCACAAAATGATGTTGCAAAGTATGTTGCAATTAGAAATGGGAAGCTTATATTTGTTATAAAGCATATATTTGACTGTGCACTAGGATTTAAGACTATGGCAATGCAGGTGTGGATTTCAGCTATTAAGAAACAATTTCTTATAAACTAATTTATGTTAATTCAAAAACCTTAAAAAAATTATTTAAACACCATTATGCTTATCTAAGTGTATTATAAATATTTTAATTTGTTTATGATTTACAATTTTCAGCTTAAAAAAGGCATTCATAGCTTGCAAAAACAGCATTTTCTGCTTTGGTATTACCTCATTTTAACAAATCTTGTTGTCTTTAATTTTTTCTGTACCTAGTTGACAAACTGATTAAAAGTTTTTAAAATTTTGAATCAGTGAAATAGTACTTTCTTAAATTAAATTTTTGTTCACGAGATTCATATTAGATTCATATTTTGTTCAAGAGATTCATATTAGATTCATATTAAACATACTGAAACCAAATTAAATTAACAAAAAAAGTATTTTGTTTGCCAGTCATTGTAAATTGAAAGTGCAGAGGTCTGTGGTTTGAAGCTGGCTCTGGCCATATATCGATCCTTGGTAAGTAAGGAGACATGAATTTCCTGATTAGGGTTAGGGTTTAGGTTTTTTTACGGTACTCTGTGATAAGACCCTTATTTTTCTTTGCCTCAATAACTTAAAAAGAACATTCAAGTTCTTTCTAACTTAACCTCTCAGTTATATTATTAATAAAAATTTATAAAACTTAAGGGTTAAAAAAGTATTAGCTGAGAGCTGGATGCAGCCTGCAGGCATTTTTGTGGCCACCCCTGATATATACTACAGCCATTTTTCAAAACATCTTATGGTAAAAAAAATGAAATTTGATTTTTTTAAAAAATAAAATAATTTAGACACCTACCAACAGTATTGAATAAATATGTTTGAAGAATTATAAAAAAATTTATAAAAATTATTAGTTTAAAAAAAATCTTTTAGAAAAAGTTTCCCCTTACAATTTTTTTTTTTTAAATTGGGATTTTGAGTATATAATTAATAGCATCTAAAAGCATTTTGAAAAATGACTGCAATATAAAATTGTATACTTTGGTGAGCAGTCTGACATCTTACTGAAATAGAAGGCTGTCGGAGACTTAAGTACATACATCGATTCACAAAATAGGTCAGTCCCAAGGACTGCCACTACATTGAATAAGGGTTTGGATTGGGGTAGCATGTATATATATTAGATTTTTATCAATTCACCCATTATAATACTACTATAATAATGTACATAATAATAACTCATTATACTCAATTTTATGTTAGTGCCTTAAAATCCTCTTAACAAAATTTTACTAAATTTTATGCTGGCCATTTTTATTTTACAAAATTTTATTTTGGCAAATTTTATGCTACCCAGAAATGGCTGCTTAAAAAACAAAGATTTGATCAAGCTGCTGAAGCAAACTTAGCGTTAACAAACAAAGAAGCTGCAATAATGAACAGAAGATGTATTTCTGAACAAATGTGTTGCAATACATTTTAATTGTGTTACAGCTCATCTATATCATCATCATTATCATCATCATCATCATCATCATCATCATCATCATCATCAGCAATATCATCACTTTTATAGATCAGTTTCATTGTGCATTATTTTTGCATTATTTCTTTAACTTTAGCTTTCTCATACCACCAGGTGTTACCTAATAGGTGGTGTATTCTTATATAAAAAGAGTGCTGAACACTCTTTTTATATAAGAATGCACCACCTAATAGGTAACACCTGATATTTATCTCCTTTATTTTTTCGAAACACTTGTTTATAAATAATTTTTATTTTTCAGAATCTAATTGACAATTTTACATGTGTTATTTGTATGAGCACAGTGCACGATGATGCAAGAATGTGTAATCAATGCTCAAAGTTATATTGTTTAAATTGTATTACAGTGAGGTTTTTTTAAATTTGTTTTTATAAGCTATGTTTTTTTTTTATTGAGTCAATTTTATTGTTTGTCATTTTTTTAGCAATGGGTGTTAGAAGAGCAGTCTAGTTGCCCTAATTGCAGGTTTAGTTTAATTAGTTCTTTAAGGTGTTACAATTAAGTATTTAATCAGTGCCTGATTATATCTTTATACTATTATTCTTTGTTGTATATTCTTTGCTGTATATTTTCTTTTTTACTTCTCTTTGTTAATCCTGCTATAAAATTTTTCATTTTCTGTTCTTAAAAAAAATTACAATTGCCTATATGGCATATGAAATGTGCAAAATAAAAAAAAACTCTCCTGAGCCCAAAGCAAACTTTGGAAAGTATAATATATAATTAATATGTAAAGATGTTGTAATATATAATTCATATGTATAGATGTAGGGAATAAATTATAAAAAACTCAAACAATGTGTTAAATTATTGTGTTTATTTGCTTTAATTATGCATAAATATTTAAATAATTAAAGTTAAAATATTTTTTTTTGGTATAATTTTTTTGTACTCAATGTTTTAAAAACTACCCTCTTATGGAAACACAAAGCCTGAAGAACAAGACTGCTACAAAGAGAATTACATAGTACTAGTTGTTACAAGTGTGGTAATACTAGGGCTTGGGTTTAAGCTCTATAACTTATACTATATTTATATATAAAAAAGAAACAATTGATTCAATAATTCGGGTTCTTAATAATTGCACAAATAATAAAAAGGGTTTCAATAAAAATTATAAAGTTACTAATTTTTATTGTTTTTATAACATTAATGTGGATGGTTAATATTTTTATGAAATATGTCAATTGTATTTTAGTTGTATCACCTAGAATAAAAAATTAAAAAATTTTAAAAGTTTTTTTTAGATTGTTTATAATATAAGACAAATTTTACATAATTTTTTATTTATTTAAGAACTACTGTAAAATTAGAAGAACTTGCTTATTGTCGTTGGGCAAAAGATGTTACTGCGGTACTTTTTTTTTTGTTATTATTATGTAATCTATTAATCCAAACATTACAGTGATCTATTAATGTAAAAATATAGGTGTGAACAGTTATCTAATAATCAGGGGTGTACCCTCATGGTCATCCGGTGGCACAGGACATCTCGCTTTCTCAAAGGGTGACTAAAATTTTTAAAAAATGCATGTAAGTAGCCTTGCAGGATGACCAGTTTTTTACTTACAAAAAAATGTTTATTAATAAAACCTTATTTTGAATTTATTTTTATTCCTAATAATTTAATAGTAATTTGATTTTTTTTTAATTTATGAAGATTTATTCATTGTGATTATTTAAAAGATACCTTTAAAAAGTATTTAAAGTGGTATACACTTAGTTTAATAATGAGTACACTACGGTACATAATGTAGTTTTACTAAATGTAATAAAAAGAACCAATTTAATATTTCAAGGTGCGACTGCGCTGTTTTTTTAAATGTTGTTCTTGCATTTTGAAGTAATTTTTTTCAAAATTTAAAATGAGTTTTAAAATTAAATTTTCTTTTTATTCGAAATACTAATGTATTATTATTTAAATGTTATAGTCACATTTTAAATCATGTGAATGAGCAATCGAACTAACTCTGAATCTCTTTTGTTTTTCATTAGTATAAAACAAATTTGATTTTAACTTAGTCAAACAAAATTAACATAATAAAAAACATTCTTAGGATGCACATGAAAAAACATTATTTAAATAAATTTAATGATGATATAAGTATTTTTATATACTTATAACAAAAAAAAAAAAGAAGATTTTAAAATAAGTTTAGACTTATATTATTATAAGTCTAAACTTATTTTAAAAAAGTAAGTAATCTTAAGCTCATATACGCAACAATTTTCATTAAATCTAATAAGCAGCATTAACTTAATAAGCTATTTTGATTTTTTATTAAACTTAAAGCTCTGTGAGGGAAAACTTTTGATAAAATTTTTTTTGTTTTGTGTCTTAGTAAAATTTAGTGTTGTGTAATTTATGGACAATACCTTAGTATAATGAATTATAATGAAAACATGTTTTAAATATTCAACTTATTTTTAAACTAAATTTAATTGAAGATTGAAAGAGATTAATAGAATATTTTTCTTTTTATAAATCATTATTGTGATTATGGCTTTCGACTTTTTTTTCTCCACGTAATGAAACCTTTGTTAAGATTGAAAAAAAGAAATGACACGAAACAGATATCAACTACAACAAAAATGACAATCTTTTAAAGTAGTATTTAAAGATATTTCTTCACCAATATCTTTTATTACTAAAGTTACTTAACAATATTTTTTAACAGCTTATAAATTTTCCTTTTTTTTCTTTCATTAATTTACTTTTAAATAAACTGTTTCTTTTCAGTCATATTTTAGTAGTTTTTCTTGAGTGTTTTCACCCGAAAAAAAAAATACCAAAAAAAGTTATTATACTGGACTACTGATTATCCTGACCTCGGAATTAGGAAAAATAAGGTCGGCAACAATTTGCTGATTGGCACAGGTCAGCAGAAAAAAATGTAAACAGACCATAAAACATAGAAACAAGTTCGGCGATTTTTTGTTGGCTTCAAACACTGTCAATTCAGCAGTTAGGTCAGCATTACCAAATGTTGACCCTAATTCCAATGGTTGATTATCATAGTGGAGGACTCAAGTAAGAAATATAAACTATTTCAGTTGCCCGCAGGGCGACCAGGAAACATACACAGACGAAAGGGTACACCCCTGATAATTTTATAGCTTTTTTTAAACTGTTTTCCTTACAGACCACTTATTCATCTTCCCAAGGACCACTGAGTTAGTGGTTCTTGGGAAGGTGACTAAGACACTGTCAAAGTGACTCAAACACTGACAAAGTTAATTTTATTTCAAATTTATTTTTATTCTAAATTGTTGTTACAACCCTCTCTCAACTCTTCAATTCCGAAAAATAAACTTTGACAAACAAGTTTGTTGTTAGTTAGACAAACAACAAGGTTAGTTAGGTATTAATTAAAATGAGTCTGTTAGAACAGCAAGCTCATTCTAATAGCGTTATTATTACATCATTATTTTGATTTTCTTTACTCTAAAAAAAGACTTATTAATGTGCTAATTCCACCTAAAGTAATCTTCTTGTTCTTTTCATTGTCTAAAGTAATTTTCTTGTTCTTTTCATTGTCTAAAGTAATCTTCTTGTTCTTTTCATTGTCTAAAGTAATCTTCTTGTTCTTTTCATTGTCTAAAGTAATCTTTTTGTTCTTTTCATTGTCTAAAAACATCCACTTGTCTTAATCTATTATGTTGATAATTTATTTCCATATTTCCATAAATGTTATGTTGTTTTTATTTTTGCTGGTATTTTGAGGATGATCACTGCATTTATTTACTTTTGTATTTCTGTTTAATAAAAAACAATTTAAATATACATGTATGTATTGGAACAAATACATGCATGTACTCAAACAAATACATGCATGTACTCAAACAAATAATACATGTATTCAAATGTATATATACATTTATTCGAATAAATAGCTGTTAAATTTTTAATCTCAGTTGTATTTATTTAAAAATAAATGAAAAAGATAATATTTTTGGTTTAGTTAATAGAAAATCTACCAAATCAACTTCATTCCACTGTTGAGAACAGAATATCTGAAACTAACCCAACTTGGTGCAACGACCATGAAAACAACAATAAAATGTATTAATTATTTATTTTTGAAAATGTTTTTGAAATACAAAGTATGCATATATTAAATATTTGTTTTGCTGTTTGAAAATGTTTTTGAAATACAAAATATGCAAATATTACTATTTGAAATACAATGTATACTAAATATTTAATGTCTGTAACTTTTGTTTTGTTGTTTGAAACAGATTGTTAATGAACCTGTAAAAGTAAATCAATAAAAATGGTATTGGAAAAGCAAAATATTGATTAAAATTGATTAATATTATAAAGAATAACTTTAAATTTGGCTGTTATATTGGCCACAAAAAAACATATTCTAAGGGTGGTGTAATAAAAATAATTTATCTGTTGTTTTGACATCTTGTCAAATATAGTCAAATAACAATTGTTTAGTTTTGTTTACGGCTTAAACTAATTCAAAATTACATTGAAAAAGTGTTATTAGCCTAGTTTTATTTATTTTCAGGACCAATGCAATCTATATAAGAACTCTGGTTATGCTGAAGAAAATAATGGTCAAGCAATTTGCATTTTAAAATAAATTTCAAATCTGCATTTCAAAATAGAATATTTTATTTGAAATTGAATATTTTATATTCAGATTGAATATAAAATATTCAATCTGAAAGTTAAATAAATAGTTGTATCCAAAAAAGTTTAAAAAAGAATTTGTGTGAGAGTTACACTTTTGTATTTCTTCGATGCTTTACCAACACATGCTAAACTTATTATAAATCATGCTTAACAGTTTAAAAAAAAGTTTCTATAATGATAAAAAAATCCAAGTTTTTCATATTATTGAAAATCTTCAAGATTTTTTTCTAAAAATCTCTATATCAAGTCAGTATTTTTTTTTTAAAGATTTTTTTTCATGAAAATCATGTAATATTAATGTCCATCTTTAATTATCTTTGTAATATTTGCTGCACATTTATTTATCTTTTAAAAAATATTTAGTTTTGTGGTGTAAATAAGATGCCTTCTATCTTTATTATTTTTAGTATAGTATATTGACTTTTATTGTTTCCAAATATTAAGTTTAAAATAAAAAGAGTTAAGGAAACTACTTTAATACAAAATCATTTTTCCTAAATACTTAATAAAGTTCACTTCCTAAATAAAAATACTTAATAAAGTTCACTTCCTAAATAAAAATACTTAATAAAGTTCACTTCCTAAATAAAAATGAATAAACAAAATAAAGATGCATTAGCAAAATTAATCAATAAGCTTTATTTAAAAAAAGCAAAAGTTAATTTAAAAAAGAATTTTAAAAAATTTAAAAAGTATTTTTATTTTTAATTGTCAATGCTAATTAATTAATTAAAGCAACCAGTGCGAATATTTTTGTTTAAATGTTATGCCTTTTTTTATATATATTACATAAATAAAAGCATTTAACTCTATAAAGTTGTGAAATTCATGTAATTAGTTGTTTTTATTACTGATTCATGGTTTTTTAATTTAAAGGTTCCATAAATTATGTCAAACTCTGAAGGGGTAGGGGGAAAGAGTTAGTAGTGGTTTTATGATGACTCATACGGAACTTGTTACTAAAGAATTATGATGTTGTGATGAGGGGAGGTAGGTCAAACAGTCAAATATTGGATGGCATAATTTATGGACATCCTCTAAGGGATATAAATAAATATATAATAATGGTATATAAAGTTTTTTTTTATTAAGATTTTTTTGTCGATTTAAATTTTTAACATTGCAAATTAAATTTTATTTAAATATAATTCTAATTTGTTTTTAAATTTAAATTAAAAGTTGTATTATTTTATATTTTGCTAATTTTTTTTTAGGAAGTGTGCGACACACAAAGATAAAATGAGTGTATTTTGTGAAACATGCTCTGCTTATCTATGTCATAAGTGCATGTGTGAAACTGGGGTAAATGATTATTATTTTTTTAAATTATGGGCTGAGCCTAGTAGATCAACCATACAGAAAAAGAATATGAACCAAGTAAACAGTTTGAAGGGAAAAAACAAAAAGTAGATGCAAAAAGTTTGAATGACAACTTTGTTGCTGCTAACACATTAAAGTGTTTTTTTGAAATGTGAGCTAGTGTAGTTGGGTTGGGAGTTGGACTCAGAAAAATGACCTCTCTAAACAAAAGGTTTTCAGTCATAAAAAAAATAACAAAAAAAATAATTTATTTACTCAAATGATAGTATGCCAACAATTAAATAACACCAATAAGTTAGGCTGAATATTAATTTAGTATTATTATAAATTGAACGAGAAGTCATCACTTTATTTTTTTATTTTTCAAATAATTTCATAGTCATATTAGAAATTATATTAAAATTTTATTCTTAAATTTTATAAAGGTAAACCATATTTTAAAGATAAAATAAAAAAGTCTAATTTTTAGAAAAAGTCTAATAAAGACACACTCTAAAGAAGTTTTAAAAAGTCTAGTTAGGTTAAAAGCGTTGATGTTGTTTATATACATTATTTTATACTAATATATATATTATTTTTATATTGTTGTGTGTAATTTTGTTTGACTTATGATATTAAATTGTTGAAAATAAATATTATTGGTGGTTATTTTTCCAGCACTTTCAACACAGCTTTTTACCATTGGAATTTGCTTATGAACCCCCAATCTCCGATGATGAGGTATTTATATAATCATGATATACAACTCAACTTTATGTTATAATTTGTATTTTTGTTTTTATAAAAAAGTTTAGATTAGTTCTAATTATAACACTAATTAATCATGACATTAGCTAATCCTATACATTGGCAGACAAAGCTTATTAGCCCCATTGAAAATAACTAATCTAGGTGAAGAAAAACTTTGATATGAAACTCCCAATTTAGTTTAGAATAAGGGGAGATAAGTAAATAAAAAGTAAGGGAGGTTTATAAATAAGAAGCATGTAAAACTCAGGTGGTAATTATTCTAGTGATAGTATCATGTTTAAAATACATCTTTATCTGCAAAATAGGTTACCTCTGAGAAGGATACCCTGTTTATAATGAATAACTTCAAATACTCTTTTATATTAATACATATACTCCATCAATATCATCATATCCTCCATCATAATTTTGCATTATTTTTACTACATAACATTAAAAAGTTCATCTACTATGTTTATTTAGGTAAAAATAATAATTGTTATTCATGCTATTTAAAAAGAATTCACATGAGTCTGCAAATGCGAATGTTAACAAAACATTTTATTACAGCAAATACCAAACTCCAGCCAAACAAGAAGCAATAAATAAACTATTCAACGAGAAAAAGCGAAAGAATAAAAAGCTTGTAAAGGCAAAATTAGATAAGCCCTTTCGCTGGATCATACACACATGTACTGGGTCTGTTCAATGCATTGATGTAGAACAATTAGTAACAAGAAGAAGTGTATGTGGATCAACAAAGATCAATTCAACAAAATCAAATCAGTCACCTCCAACAGTAACAACAGCAATCAAAATAATGCTACAACCAATGCCACCACACCGGCTACGGCAAGTACGGCGCAAGCCTAAATCTTACCAACCTAACCCCAACACATTTAGTCTCCATTCCTTTGCAACTACCAATAAAACCAACTGCAAATTTTGGGGCAAATAACCCACGCTCACTGAATGGTGCCAAACAAGATGATCAAGGAATGGTGCCAAATAAGATGAATGGTGCCAAACAAGATAATCTGATGGCAAGAATAGACATTGAAGAACCAGCAGACAAACCAGACTTGCTCTTCTTTGCAGAGTCATGGTTCACTGACATGTCAAACATTTGACTACCAGGATACCTAGTACACAAAAAAAAACAGAGAAGGTAGGGGAGGAGGTGTTGCAATATACATAAGAAATGATATACCAGCAGCTGAAACAGATATACCACAATTGAACTCATCGGACATAGAGCAAGTATGGAGAGTTATAAAGTTAGGCTTAGTTATAAAGTCGATTCTTCTGGGTTGCATTTATCGTCCGCAGGATAACGACAAAGTAATGCTTGAAAAAGTAATAAAGACAATCGATACTACAAAGAAAAACATTTCAAAAGTGGAATACTATGTTGAAGTCACCGTAGATTAACATCCATGTTAATCTACGGTGACTTCAACTTTCACACAACATACAAAGAACTTGACTTGGATGGAGCATCAGCAACAGTTGCCCACGTGCAAAATGAGCATCAAAAAGATATGTTATTCCAACAATTTCTAAACTCCCTTACACAAATGGAAAGGTTCTATACTTATAAAAGAACTAGAGAAGAAGAGCCAAGATGCACACTTGACTTACTTATTACAGTTGAACAAGACGGAATTATCGAACTTCATAAAGGCGACTCACTAGGTCACAAACCAGCAGGTGAATCATAATGCTTTATCAATGTTTCATTTGTAACAAACGGCGACCGAATGACAGGCGTCCATGAACCTCAATGAAAAGAGGTATATATGGACTAGAGCAAACTAGGATACTGTTATTAGCATGAATAATTGTTGATTGCCGTTGCCGTTGATTGGACAAGTACGATTTTATTTATTTTAATGACACGAATAATACTCATTGAGTGGACAAGTATATTTTTCAGCTAACAACAACTATAAATTATTAATAGAAAAAATTATTGAAGCTATCGAAATCCACATACCTGGAACTAAGCAGCATGTAAAAGACTCAGCAAGGTGGTGAAAGCAGCAACAGTTGACTATGAGGGGGAGATTACAGCACATTTCAACTATGACCCAAAACAATTTCATAACCAAGTTAAGCATAAGCAAATGGAAAATGAAATGCTGAAATCCCTCAAAAACAATGTAAGTAAAATAAATACAAATATGCAAGAGTTTTTACATTTACTTAATAACTATTTTCTGTCAGCATTTGTTATTGAGCCTCTAGATCAAATGCCGAATTTCAGAGATCAAACCCAAGCAAAATGCAATTTAAATGAAGCTACAATTATGCATGCAGCTGTACAGCAAAAGCTTGAAAAACTAATAGAGAGCTTCACTCATGAGCGAATCATGAAGTACTGCTATAACAATGGCCTATTCACAAAAGCTCAGCACAATTTTTTATGTAAGCAGGGCTGTGTGCGGCTCACTGTTCAGGTGGATATCATAATGGCTGGCTAACCGGAACCAAAGGTTTGTTGGCATGGCTGAATCTGAGTGAAAGAGTTAATTAGTGGAGTGCCTCAGGAATTAGTGGTAGGACCGTTGCTCTTCATCCTCTACATAAATGACCTACTGGACAACATAGCTCACCACATAAAGATATATGCCAACGACAGCAAAATACTAGGTGTAATCAAAATAGAGGAGGACACAGCACGTCTCCAGCTAGACATTGTCAAAGCAGTAGAATGGTCCATAAAGTGGCTAATGCTCTTCAACTTGGAAAAATGCAAATGCATGCATGTAGATTGCTCCAACAAATCAGTCTACGTCTACACAATGACAGATCAGATGGGAATAAGACAAGAACTGGGTACAACTTCAGTCAAACGAGATATAGGTGTTCTTGCTTCAAAAGACTTAAAAAAAAGTTCTTAAGTTCTTACTGGTATTTTTGGACTGTTATTCTGAATCTTAAGACTCTTGATGGTATGATTTGACTTGGGTTCGGAAGTTGATGTTGCTGCTTTTTTGTTACTGTTGTTGAAGTAGGCTTCATGGACATTTTTCTTTTGGATAGATGGACAATTTTTGAACTAGCAGCCTTCCCAGTTCTATACCCGACCTGTCCTTTGTTTTCAATCAAAAGATGGTCCTTTGATGGATTCTCCTAAGAACAGATAGAGACCAAAAAATTGGATTTTGAATGGTATCCTGTGTTATCTTCCACTGATTGTTTTTTTAGTGGAACATTTCTTCTTTTCCTATGTGGCTCATAAAATTGTACGAGATTCTTCATCCAAATCTTCTTGTTTATTTTAGTAGTGGAATTTTCTTATAGCGCGTTATGATTGAAGATAATACTTGAATATATTTGTGAAATATTAATAAATATAAGTGCTATTGTACTTTTATATTATTTGACTGCCATCTGGTGAATCTGGTTTCCAGATTCTTCTATAGTTATTAACATTGCTCAATCAGGCAGCTTATATAATCTAAATCTTACTAATTTCTATAAACTTCTAGAAGACTCCAGAAAGTTCTAGAAAGTTTCAAAAATTTCTTATATCTAGAACAGACCAGAATTTTCTAGAAAGTTTCAGAAATTTATAACATCTAGAACAGTCCAGAATGTTCTAGAAAGTTACATATGGTTCAAAATCTAAGCTTTAGAAATCTGTTGCCTGCAAATGCTGCTTGTTTTTTAAAAGTTTTGTGTTTTAGATGACATTATTTGAAAATTAATCAGAATAAAACTCATTTTCATTACTTTTGAGTAAAAATTCATCAATTTATGACAGGAAATAATTGTTTTATAAAAAGTTAAAAAGTCATAACCCTAAAGAGCATGCATTTTATATGTATTTTGCTTACTGAATAGGTACGCTTACTGAAAGGTACGCTTTGCTTACTGAAAGGTACGCTTCTTATAGGTAATTGGAATTGTTGTAAATTGAAATTGTTGTAAACAGAATGGAATAGTTGCAAGTAGCGGAATGGAAATGTTGCAAATAACGAAATAGAATTGTTGCAGAAATGGTTCTATTCTGAAGAATTCAGTAAAAATAAAAAATAATTTTAGCAACATTTTAATCAAACTATTGGGAGCATATGTTTTCTTTTTAAAGTTGCAAAGTTTTTGTACAAATAATTTAAGCTTCATTAAGTGGCATCTCCTAATTAAGTGACAGACATTTTTATTTTATTATAATATTATTTAGTTTTATAGAAAAACAACTGAAAATTTTTAATTGACAATATATAATAAAATTAATTACTTAATTTTATTCATTTTCACATATATCATGTTGCCTTTGATACTGAATGTTCATAACAAACAATCGGAGAGGATCCACAACTACCATAACTTACTTGAGGGCTAGTCCCCGCCTCAGGTAATGTCACACTGCATCATCTAAGCGTCAATTTTACTGCACCTCAAAGAAAATGGTTTCTCATCAACATATGGTTTGATACTATAAGCTTCAATTGAAGTCATAAAATGCTGATTAACAAGATTTTTCAAGAATTTTCAGTTGTTGATTGTTTGTCCTGAATTGTGGGTTGTGTTCTCTGTATATGATATAGAACGCTAAGTTAGTGACGTCAATCATATTATAGAAATATGCAAGCTGCCAATGCAATATTTGTTGTTTCTGACTTGACTGACTGTTTCTGTTCAACTTCCCTGATCATTTGCATGGATAATTGAAGCACAACTGATATATTCTACTTTAAAACGTATGAACAAACTGTAAATCATGATTGTCATCAAAAGTCTTTGAGTTAACAGGTCTTTTCGTAGCAAGCTACATGTTGCATAGCAGGAGTCTTTGTTTGTTTTTTTTTTTCTAAATAATCATCGTCTTGAAGTTAAAATAAGACTTAGTAGCACATTATAAGAGACAGAGCATCAACTTTCAAATATCGTTCAGATTCTTTTCGTTGTTTCTGTGTAGACCATTTGCAATCAGAATGCTAAGAAATGCATTAAGCTCACCTTCGGTAAATAGCTTGAAAGATTTTTGAGGTGGCTTCTCGGGAGTATATGAATTTTTTGTATTAGAATGCATCAGAAACTTTTTTCCTTTTGATTTGTTTCTATGATGTCACAAACTTCTAAACTCATGGTTGACTTTAATGTTAGGAAATCATATTGGTGCACTTAACGGTTGATTACTACGCCAATCGTTTCCATCCTTAGTTATCCTAATTTTATCAATACTTTGAAATACAGGTTCATCTTTAACACTTTTGGCTGAGTCGTAATCTTCTTCCTGTACTATGACCAGTTTTTATCTCAGAATCAGATTCTTTGATATTAGTTCACCGGATTTTGATATGTAATAAAAAAACAAAAAATAAATGCAAACAGGTAAATTATCCCAGTAAACACAATATGTCTAAAAAATGTTTAAATACTTTTTAATACGTTTTAGTTCTAGACGTCTAAAATACGTCTTGCATTGGAAATGTTTTAATACCATTTAATACGTTTTAGTTCTTGACGTCTAAAATACGTCGTGCGTGGGAAATGTTACTAAAATATAGAATTAAAGAATTGACACAATATGATACTAATCTTTTCCTTTGATATTGGAGATTACTTGATCCAGCTTCTTAATCGCTCATAATGATTTACTGCATCAATTTTTAATAATTTTGGTTTAAAAAATAACATTTATAATATGATTTGAATAACAACTTGTATATGGTAAGATGGTAGATGGTTCTTCAACAATATACGTGATACTATTTTATACAAACATAGATAAATATCTCACAATAATATTAATTTAAATAATAATTCATACAAAAAATATATTGCTCAAATGAAGTTATCATACAACAATCTTAAGATAAATTTTATTTTACAACAGTTAAATATTTAATGTATATATAATAAATACCGGACGGAGAGCATACTTGAACCGAGAACTTGAAAACATACGAAGGTGTAATTGTGTAGTTCGACAAAGGTTATAAATTTAATAAAAGGCAAAAGCTTTTGTTCCTTCAAAAATTTTTGAAACAAGAAATCCTTGAGTAACACTCAAATGCATTAGGTCAAAATAAAATTTACTTTTTTTTAATGGTAATTTTACATTTTAATATTTTCAGGGAAACTTTAATCAAGATGAATCAAATGTCGAAAAATTAGTTTTCCAGTTGCAAGAAATGGGTTTTGAAAATAGTTATGGAAAGTTACGCAGCTTGTTGCTGATGAACAATTGTTTAATTGCAAATGTAGTCGATGCATTGAATATTGAAAACATCATCGAGAACAATCTAGAACTACACCGTCAGAAGAAATCGAATCTTGAAGAGTCGATTTGTCAGTTAAAAGAAATGGGTTATGACAATAGTAATGGGAGGTTACGCACATTGTTGATAATGAGCGGCTGCAGCTTAGAGAAAGTGTTTGAGCTACTTAGTACTGATTTTTTCAAGTGCTAGGTACTAGGTAGCTCAAACAATATTTTCGTTATTTTGTTCTCTTTCATTTATTAACATTTTTATTTTTACTTGTGCCTTTTAATTTCAGTTTATTAAAACAAAATTCTTCAATCATGTTTCTAAACTTTTATTTTATAGTATAATATAGTTTTATTTTTATACTGTAAATTCTAAATAATTTTATAATCGATAAAAATTGGAGACTTTCTCATATTGTCTATTTCTGTTAATGGTAGGTACACTGACTGAGTTGTAAAATTTATTGTTGTTACCAGTACGCAACTTACTCTGTAATCGGTGTCATACCATTTGCGTATTTTAACTGTGAATGTCTTTAAAAATGCAAGTTCAATAATATAATTCTGTGATTAAAAAAAATCAAAAACTTGAATGAAAGAGTTATTGTTTATTGTTATCAAATATATAATAGGAAAACAAAAAACCAAAAAAATATTTAAAAAGTAGACGAAATTCAATCTTCGGTCGAATTTTTTAAAACTGAAACTTTGTTTTTATTTTCATTACTTATGTAAACTGATAAAAATATGTCATTCAATGTAAAAGTTGAGTTTGCGGATCGTATATGAAACGTTCCTATATTAATGTTTAATATAAAAAAACTTTTTTAAAACTTTTCTAATAATTATCAGTCTTTTTCGCTTAAACTGTTATTACAGTTATATATGATTTAAAAGTTACATATATATGTTATAAAACATAATTATGTTTCATATCCCAAGAAACGGAAAAAACCAAAAAATGTTTTTGCTTAGCGGCGAATTTGAACCGCAACAACGTTATGATGCTAGCACTGAGGGCAGCATACTAAGTCACTAAGCTACTGAATATGTGTCAAATTAAAAAATAACTTAATTTATAAACTTGTTATATCCATACCATAGTTCAACACATTTTAATCGGGTACTCTAATTAATCGCAACTATATTGCATAAAAAGTTACAAAAATAATTTAAAAAATAAATAAAGCGTAAAAATTAAAATTAAATAAATTAATAAAAAATCTATTTATCAAATGTCACGTAAAAACATCTGTAAGTGTTAACTTACAAAAGTACATAACGTTAAATGATGTCAAATTCATTTAACGTTATGTATAAACATAAATAACGTTAAATGAATTTAACGTTGTGTATATTTGTACATAATGTTATTTTAATTTTTTCTAACAATTCAAAAAAGTAATTTTGCTTAATGAAAAAAACAAAAAAATTTTCTTATCCAAGTGAAGGTATTGAATCTTTGATGACTATTACGCTCTGAGCTATTAATGCCTAAGTTATGAAATTAAACATAATTTCTTCTAAAAAAAATTTAGAATCATACATTTATAATATCCCTCTCCTGCTCCTGCTTAATAGTTCTGTTTTATTAAACTTATTTTTATGGAAGAATTTTTATTAATTCCTTAAAAGATCTTTAAAAGTTCTATAAAAACCTATAACAATAATTATTAAGTACCCCTATTAATTACACCCTCTCCCCACCTTTCTTTTGATAATTCAGCTTGCTTTTATTTACGCTATAATTTAATAATTCGCAAAAACCAATCATAAAAACAGCTTAATTAAAAGATGTTGTCGAGAGTTTATTGCAAGAAAGCTGTTACAAGAAATGTCTAACAGATAGAGTCAGCTTATTTGACATAACCAACTCCTTGTGTCCAGTTTTCAGGGTCTTCTTTTGCTTTTTGAATAATTATAGACCCGTATTGTACGGGTCCGGACAACTAATTTATTTTGATTTTTAAAGGATTATAACAATTAAATGTGACCACGGGTATTTGAATTAAAATGTGATCACAATTTCAATTATATCTGGGCATTAATTTATTTTTTTATTGAAACGTCAGACTGTTGTTTTTTTCATTAAACGTGTTCTTTTTTTTAGTTTTTAAATTATCATTTGAGATATAACTTAAAAAACCAGACAAGTGCATAGTTTTTACAATATAAAAACGGGGTTAATTTTTTCCATCTGCTTTATTAACGCATTAAATGAAAGGATTCAAGTTTGTGCATAAAAATGCAATTTAAAACCAAAACGGAACGTTATTATCAATATGATCTAAAAAGTTTTTAAATTTAAAATGGAACTTGAACGTATTTGAGTTTGTTGTAACAAGCAGTTAACAACAACTAAAGAATTATTCCAAAAAATGACTGAGGAGGTTGTTTTTTTCTTTCCACCTAAATAAAAAAATGAGTTCAATTGTAGAATAAAAAGTTTTAGAAATAAATTTTTTTTTCTGATATTTATTTTTTTATGACCTGTTATACTTATTCACAGCATATCGAATAACTTATGTCTGTATCCATATTGTTTACCATTTGTAAATACCCGTCACAAAAACTAACCCCTAAAATGGTTTTAAAAAATGAAATGTATTTATTGCATTCATCTTCAGAGGCTAATCTAGCCGTACTGCATGGTGGAGTGATACACGTGTTGGAGCCGGAGTTTGATCCAAGGTTGACATTCGACGTAAAAAAGCAGTTTTCTTGTGCCATAGTAAAATAGTTTCTGTAGCACGATTGTATAGAACTGTTACTGTTATCATCGTTATTTAATGTAACTAACTCTGAATTCGATAAAACGATCAACAAAGATATTCCAGCGAAACTCCATAGGTGCATCTAATATAAAAAGCTATTCAACGGTCAATACATACTTATATATATATATATATATATATATATATATATATATATATATATATATATATATATATATATATATATATATATATATATATATATATATATTATATATATATATATATATATATATATATATATATATATATATATATATATATATATATTATAGTTATTACTAAGTAAATCGGGATTTAACATTAGCACAAAGTGAAAGTAGAAAATTGTTTCTAAAAGAAAGAGATCGTTTAAATAAGGCTGATAATGACCAGCCCTTTCGGTATATTGTCAAAAATGAGTCAATTGTCAAAGTCAAGAAAAGTGAAAAAGCTGAAAATTAATTCATTATCTAGTGTAAATAAAAACAAATCTGACAGTATTTTCTCATTCAATAAAAAATATAATTATCTTAAGTTTTGTATACAAATTCTACATTTTTAGTAAATAAAATAGCAGAGTTTGAAACAAAAATTATGATCGATTCACCAGATGTCATACTTATTTCTGAAACATGGTTCGAAATTGATTCAATTATTAATATTAACAACTACAACTGCTTTTACAATAATAAAACAAATAAACAAGGTGGAGGTGTTGCAATTTTTACAAAATATGATATTATTGCTTATGAAGTATCAGTTTCACCTTTATATAAAAAAGATGAACAAATATGATATAGCATTGTACTTCATAAAACAAAAATATTAGTTGGATGTATATACAGACCTAATAAATAATGCAAATAATGAATTAATAAAAACTGCAAAAAAGGAAGTAATGAATGGAAAATACTCAAATATAATGATCATTGGTGACTTTAATTACCCAAATATTATTTGGAATGAAGACGGAACTATTGAACTAAAAGAAAACTGCCAAATAAGCAGAGCATTTATTAATAATTTGAAAAACAACTATTTACATCAAATAGTTAGCAAACCAACTTTTCAAATGGCTGTTGATAAACCAACAAATATATTAGATTTAATAATATGTGACAATCTAGATTTAGTAATCAATATTGAATATGATGCTCCACTTGGTCAAATTAATAAAAGCCATTACATATTAAAATGGGAAATTAACATACTCAATGCATATGAGAAAAAATTCAACAATAAGAAATTTAATTTTCGAAACGGAAAGTACAAAGAAATGAATCTCATGTTTAATAATGTAAATTGGGTTGAAATCTTTGATAAAATGAGTACAAATCAATTTTATGAATACTTTTTAAAAATTTATGAAAAAGCTTGCAAACAATATATTCCTCACCATTTCAAACCCAAATCCATGCATTAATAAAAAAATCAAGAATCTAATTGAATATTATGCAAGAATCTAATTGAATATGATGCTACAATAGATTTTATTTCCACCAGTTTAGAAAATGGTAAACCTGTTGATGTTATTTTTTTGGATTTTGCTAGGGCATTTGACACAGTGCCTCATAAAAGACTGTTACTAAAACTAGCAGCGTATGGAATATCTGGTCTAACAATTAAATGGATTGAAGCTTTTCTGAAAAATAGAAAACAAAGAGTTGTGTTAGGCGAAAACGTATCTTCTTAGGCAGAAATTATCAGCGGTGTGCCACAGGGGTCCGTAATTGGACCACTTTTGTTCGTGCTATTTATTAACGATTTTCCTGAAACCTTAAAAAACATATCTATGCTGTACGCTTATGACGCTAAAATAATGAATGAAATGATTTCCTACGAATCAACAGTGTCTTTGCAAGCAGATCTTGATAGAGCGTTAAAGTGGACTCAAGAGTGGCTTGTAAAGTTCAATATTTCTAAATGTATGGTCATGCACTATGGGATTAATAACAGAAAAACACCACTTTATATCAATAAACAAAAATTAAACGTAACAGAATCTGAAAGAGATCTAGGAGTAATTTTCTCAAACAACCTAAAATGGAAAAATCATATGATATAGTGCGTAGGCAAAGCTAATCAAATGTCGGGTATGATTAAAAAATGCTTACGTAGCATTGTTACAAAAAGAAAGTTTAATTTTCAACAAACTCAAACAAGAGGTCACCGGTTTAAATATGTAAAAGAAATCACTAAGCAAGCTCATCGAGAAAACTTTTTCTTTAACAGATTAGCCAATTTATTGAATAGCTTGCGGAATGATTTGGTTAATTCAGAAACAGTTAACAGTTAAAGCCGGTCTTGATTGCTGGATGAGCAGCAGTCAGGCAAATCAGCTGTCATAGTGTGCTAATAACACACTCACTGGTTCATACCAGTTACAGCATTTAATAATAATAATAAATAAAAATTAGAAAAAAACATAGTTTATGGTGCAGAGTGCGTGCTACAATATTCAAGAATACAAACTTAAATAATAAATACAAACCAATTAATAAAACGATTAAAAAACAAATTAAAAAATCTACTCTAGATTATGAAATAAACTAAGCAAAAGATGTAAAACATAACCCAAAACGCTTCTATGCATAGGCACAAAGAAAAAATCAAACACATACAAAATTCCCAGCACTTAAAATTAATGACAATAAAGTAATAACCGATAAAAAAAAGTCATTGCTAATCAACTAAATTTTAGTTTCTAATCAGTATTTGACAAAAATAAAACAAGTCTATTATTTGAATGTGACTGGACCAAGAACTAAAAGAAGATATTATACTTAATTATTTATTAGAACTTAATGTAAACAAGTCACTTGGTTGCGATAACATCAGTCCCTATGTGCTAAAGCATTGTGCAGAAGGATTATCCAAACCTTTGTCTTTAATATTCAAGAAATAGATTCATTCAGGAGAGCTGCCAGAATAATGGAAATCTGCAAACATTACACCACTTTTTAAAAAAGAAGACAAGAAGAACCCATTCAACATCAGACCTATCTCCTTAACATCGATACCAAGTAAGATAATAAACAAAATAATTAGAAAAATGCTGATAATTTATATAACAGAGACAATCAGTTAACATTTCAACAACATGGATTTATAAAAAATAAAGGGTGCCTAATAAGGACCAGCGAATATTCGTTAAAATTCGGATTACGAAGTTTACTGAAAGGCGAAGTTGACTTCAGCTAAATTTAGTAACAGTTCTATACAAAGTTGAAATAGAAATTCGGTTTGCAGTTAAATTCGGTAACAATTCTAAAATTTCATTTAGCTTTCAGTCAAATTCGAAAGCTATAAAGTTTGTTTCAATTTATAAAGAAGAATAAATTATGAAACATATTGTATGTTTTATGTATATCTATACCTATATATACCTGTTTCTATTCGTTACAACCCTCTCTAAACTCTTAAACTTCGAAAAGTGTTTCCAAGTTAGAGAGTTGAGAAAGGGTTGTAACAAATATAAGAAGTAACTTCCTTGACTAAAGTGGTCCACTTGGCCCAAGGCCAAGTGGACCACTTCAGTCAAGGAAGAATTCAGTAAAAAAAAAAAACATGAATTCAGTAATAAACATGAATTCAGTAAATAAAAACATGACAACATGAAATCAGTAAAAAAAAAAAAAAAAAGCATGTTGAAAATAAATTTGTCTTAAAGAGTCAATATTTGAAAAGTCTTTTTTATGCAAATAGTTATCACTTATGAAACCTTATTTATCGCTTTCAAAAAATCCTAAAGATAAAAAACAGGTGAAATATTCTAATACTCTTAACAATCTTCTACCCTTTTAAAATTTTCAATTAAAATTTTTAAATAAACGTTGTAAATGTTTTTTTGTTTCTGTTCGTTCAAAAACATTGAGAATTGTTTCAATTACTTTAATTCTCATTATAACTGAATTTTTAAAGATTATTATTTCGACGCAAATTTTTTTTTGTAAGTGTATATTTTTAAATAAATTAAAATTTACTTGGCTTCGCTTGTTCTTTGCATGTTTTGAATTATGGTTAATTACAAGCTAAAAAATGATAATTTTAGTTTAAAAAAATGATTATACAGCAACCACGGCGCAGTTGTTATAACGGCAACCACGGCGCAGTGGAGCGCTCGCTATAAAAGCAAGAGACCTAGGACTTTAAGCAAGCTCTGGGCGTATTTCGCATCATCGGTAAGGAAGGAAGTTTAAACTTTTCCGTGGCAAAACCATTAAGTCTTGGAACACCTAAAATAAAAAAGAAGAAAAAAATTTTATAAAACTTATTTTAGTTTTTTTAAAGTTCCTAAAAATTTTTTTTTAGTTAAATGTGTTTTTAAAATTCAAATTCGGCTTTCAGTTAAATTTGGTTTAGAAGTCCAAAATCGTCTTTCAGTTAAATTCAAGCAAAATATTTGGATTAAATTCGTCTTTCAGTTAAATTCGGTATACACATATGATTTAAATTTGTCTTTCATTTAAATTCGAGTCTTAAAATGTCGACTTTGCCGGTCCTTAGTGCCTAACAAACCTATTAGAAACTTTCGATATTATTCCAACTAAAATTGAAAATGGTTATCCAGTTGATATATTGTTCCTAGATTTTGCAGAGGCGTTCGATAAGGTGCTATGGAATAAAAGACAATGTTTTAATTTGGATTGATTCTTTTTTAAAAAACAGAAAACAAAGAGTGGTAATGGGTGAAGTTGTATCAGATTGGTGCGAGGTTTATAGTGGTGTGCCACAGGGCTTTGTATTGGATTCTCTTCTTTTTCTGTTATATATCAATGATCTTCCCAATGTATCTCTTCAATTGCAAAATTATACGCTGATGATACTAAAATCATATCTGTTATAAAAGAACATAATGATCTAATTAATATGCAAAATGACATTGATTTGTTTACTGAATGGTCAAATGTATGGTTAATGGACTTTAACATAAGTAAATGCAGTATTATGCACATTGGAAGAAAAAATATTATAACTGTACTATGAAGCACGAAAATCAAAGTTTTTTCTAAAAACAACAACAAAAGAACTAGACTTAGGTGTAGTAGTTTGATCCAATATGAAATGGAATCATCAGGTTCAAGTAGCTACAAGTAAAGTACAAAGAACCTTATGTTTAATAAGAAAAACTTTTACTCATCTTAACACTGAAATGGTAAGGCAATTATACACAGCGCTGGTTAGATCACACCTGGAATTTGCAGCTTCAGTGTGGAATCCAAGTAATAAAAACAATATCAATGACCAAGATCTTTAAATGTTTTAATTTTTTTTGCTTAAGGTTTTTATAATATTTAAAGAAACTTTCCTTTTTTATATATCATTTTCAAAATCTTTTTACAACCCGTAATAATGTATTTAAAGAACACTATTTTGAAGTCTTTAGATCAATTCCGCTCATCGGCATTTACATGAATTTAGCTAAAATCTTTTAAAAAAGTTCTTTAATTTATAAATTAAAGACTTTTTTTAACGTCTTTTATACGTCAGAACCGATTAGAACTAGGATCAGTAGTAATTACTACTGATCCTAGTTCTAATCGGTTCTGACGTATATTAACTATATATAGTTGTCAAGACACAATATTTCTATCAATTTTCACAAAAAATACTGGAATTCCGACCAAGAAAGAGCTTATAATTATAGAAAATTGCAAATAAACGATCAGAACAGATCATATTGTTAAACTATAATGTTTATTTCACCTAAAAAACGTATTAATATAAAATCTTATTTAAATTTGAACGAGCGATTGTGATTTTAAGATGATTTTTTTAAAAAAAAAAGATTCCACGGTCTGGATTTTTTTGCTACAAACATTTATACTTTATGATACCGCAAAATTTAACATTTTTTTTGTAAACACCAGCTCTAACCTGACATCCAAATTTAATTGTCCTAAATACTCATTTGTAACGTTAATAACTGATATTAACAACAAACTTGCATTTAAAGAACTTTAAAACAAAGAGCTCAAAACTGCAATAAACAGTCTTAAAATAAAAATGTCTCCAGGTATAGATGATGTTTGTAGTAATGTTGCTGTTAATTCCTTTTTGGAGATAGTAGCAGCTTTTTGGGGTATGACATTAACAACAAAATTACTACAAAAATTAACTTAAAACTTTAAATGTAGTTAATATCAAATTAGTATCTAACAAAACACTTTATGCTAAAATACTTAGATTTGTTTCAACTTGTTTAATAAAAAAAAAATTTCAAACAATTTTTTGTCGTTTTTCACGACGTTAAGACGTCTAAAAGTGTTGTTGCATCGTTTGTTTACTGGGCATTAAACATAAAAATAAATTTATTTTTTTATGTACAAAAAAAAAATAAAATAAAAAATGAGAAAATTAAGAGCTATATTTAAGAAATTTATGTGACACCTATACCCAAGCGGGCTTTTGTTTTTAAAAGTTACGTTATAAATATATTTTAAATATCTTTTAAACGTCTTCTAAATATTCTTTGGTAAAGAACGTTTATAAGACGTTTGAAAAAACGTTTAGAAAACATTTAGAACGTAACTTTTAAAAACAAATGCCCGTAGGGAAATATAATATATTGTAGACCTCGTAATTTAACCATATGTTAAATTACGAATTAACTATTTTCACTTTTTGTTTGTCTGTTTAGTAGATTATCGAAGACAAGACTTTTTTAGTTTGCGTTTAAAAGTTAGCAACTTTCATTCTAAAAAAGTATTCACTAATTAATAAAAGTGTGTGTGTGTGTAGTTTATGTTTATTACTGTATATCATACTGCATATTACATTGTACATGAATACATTATATTTTAAACAATATGTTGTATATTTCTTATTCTCGACACAGGTTAGAAGTTGATCATTTAGGTTTAATATTCAAATAAATCTAAAGGTTTTTAAGATTTTGCTTAAAAATTTTTAGGGTACACAAAATCATATAAAATAAAATCCTTCAGCTAACACATTTTCCGAAAAAAAAAGGGATTTAAAGGGGACGGACCAATGAAATTTAAGTATTTTAGTAAGGAGATTTTTCTAGAAACTCTGCAAACTTCGAACGGGTACATACTTATACTAATGTCAAAAAATGATTTTTTTTTAGGTTAAGGGAACATGAAAATTATAACACTTTTGGGCAACGGATTCCAAATAGATAGCAAATAGACAATTGATAAACCTTTTTTGAACAATACTTTAATAAATTAAATATTTTTAATAGAATTCAATTTCTACATTTTTAAAAATGTATATTTATTTTTAGTAATTTAAAACTAATAAATAATTACATTGAAGTAAGTTAACAATCAGTTATCATTTTCATTTAATCATAATTTAAACACATCTTTAAATTTACCTTTGATCCTTTAGAAACTATTAAAATTATACGTAGAGTTCATAATGACTCATTTGCTGTCATAAAAGGAAAGAAAATTGAGTTTAAAAACATATCACAAGCTGAATAAACTTTTAGTCCATGCTTGTTGTCTCAAATAGAAGGTGGCTCATAAAGGAAATACAAATTAAAAAAAAGAAATCAATTATTGTTTAAATAAATAAATTAAAAAGTGTGTACCAGTCAAAGAAAACCTGTAAAAGTTTTTTGTAAAATATTCTCACAATGACTATGTGTTAGGGTTATGCAGTAGGAGCTGCAAAAAATGAAAAATTATTTTAGATTAACAACTAGTAAAATATTAGGTATATTTTATGATTTCTCTATTTGGGACAATGTGGTTTGGGATTTTTGAATGCTAGGAATGGTTTCTCATTATTGTATGAGTACAACATTTGATGGTATGAGTTAATTTTTTCTAGAAAAACTGCTAATAAAATCATTATTAGCATAAACTGCTAAATAAAATCATGTTTTTTATCGCGCTTAATTTTTTTTTAAAAAGAAAAAGAGAATCTAAACAAAACGTTTTTAAAATATGAGGTCTATAGCAAAGTTAAAGACATGTATTCAACATACGTCTACTCTACACCCAAATTTTTAAATAGCGAGTAAGAAATTAAATTATTAAGAAAAAGCTGTGTGTGTGTGTGTGTGTGTGTAATGTTTGTGTTAAAATTGCAATATTTGTTTGAATTATGTCGAATAAATTGCAAAACAACTTTATATGAAACTAGCACATCACGCTTTGTGACGTCAGAGCTCCAAGGTAATCGAATAATAAAATAAATCCAGAAAAATTACTAACTTTTTCAATTAAAATCTAGATTAATTTAAACTGTAAGTAAAGATGAAAATTTTAATTAAGAATTTTTTAATCATTATAAATCTTACCTTTTTATAAAACTTTTTTTCACTTTTTTAAGTCTTATGACAAATATAAAATAATTGAAGTTTTTTTAAAAATACCATGCTTTTATATCAAGAATTAATTGAAGATTTCCGCAGAACAAGTAAAAATGTTAGCAAATACATTCTTCTTGTTGATTGTCAGAGTAATTTTAAATAACAAAGCTTCAAAAACGCAAAAGAAAATTAGTGCAGAGACATTTCTGTTCGTACGCATCCGATATTTGTTTGTAAATACAGAAAAACAGTTTTTATGTGACGTAATTAAACCATTAAAAAATTGGTTTGTTTCCTCAATTTAAATTGTAATGTTCGTTTACAATGTTTTTAATAAATGAAACATTAATTAACATTCACATTTTTAACCAGAAAGTGCCAGAAATTGCATGGAAACTTCCTATTTAACAGTTTCATTTTTCACTAAAGTTAATCACGATTTGCAATCTTTTTAACTTGTCTTCATAGTAGGATTTAAAGCAATATTTTAAAATACATTTAAAACTGTTTTTTTCTTAACATCTGATGTATCACTTTTTCTTCATTCCTACATTAATTTAAAAATAGCAATAATTAAGAAGAAAAAGGTATGAAGATTTCTTAAAAAAAGTTAAAACTGTTTAAAAAATTGAAAAAACAATCTAAAAAAATTACCTAAATTTATTACAAAAGGAAATCAGAAATTATGAAAAATAACCTGGTAAGGTTAAAGGAAATAATTGGAGAAAAAAAGAAAGATCAAGGTTTTTTTCTTATTAGTGTATAAATACATTTACCAAAGTATTTATGCACTAAAAAGAAAATTAATTAAGAAAAAGATATTGCACAACTTTTTATAATTTCTTTATAAATATCGAGAAAAACTTTTTTTGAAAAGTTTTTAATCATATCTGAAAGAATAAATTTTTATAGGACCATTTTATAGTACCATTTGTTCGCGTTTTTGATTAAAAAATGGATGTAGGGATCAGAAACGTTTGAAAAATTGCATGACGTAATTTATGGACTTGAATTTTTAACTTTTGTTTTTAAAATATTATTGAAATATTTGAAATATTATTATTGAAATATCATTGTTCGCAAACGCTTTCACTTTTAAATTTTTCGAAAATTTATCTTAAAATATATTGTATTTATATTAGAAGGAAATAAAAAATAAAAAAAGAAATATAGAAATAAATTAGCAGAAGTTTAAGATTTTTAATTTTTAAAAATATTTCAAGCATTTGTTAATAATTTATTGAGATTTTAACTTTTATTAATTAATCGATTTTAAAAGTATGTAAGAGCAAAAATTTCTTGGTGAGAACATCGACGTACAAGGAACAGGTTGATGAAGAACAAAGAACCGGTCGATGAGAACATCGACGAAAATATTAACTGGAATAAACATATTTATATTGACAGCAAGATGTCAAAAAGTATTGGAATTTTTCAATCAAGAGATTTACCTAATAAAAATCATCTTAAACAGAAATATTTTAGTTTTATACAAAGTTACTTCTAAAGGCAAACTAGAAACACTCTTTAAAAAACAGAAACATGTTTTAAAAATAATAAATTTTAAAAACAAAAACGAACATGCTAAACTACTTTTCGAAAGTATGAATATTTGTATATTATATAAACATATTTTAAATTTTATGTATTATGTAAAAAAGTAAATTTCAACAATGTCCTTCAATTTTTAATAATCTCTATGAAATAAAACCTAACTTTCAATACCCGACGGGCATTTGTTTTTAGAAGTTACGTTCTAAATGTATTTTAAACGTCTTTTAAACGTCTTTTAAACGTCTTTTAAACATTAATACATTTAGATCGTAACTTTTAAAAACAAATGCCCGTTGGGTATACTTTGCGCGCATCAGGCACCTTAATTGAACTTTATGCAAAACTAAGCAGAAACAATTTAAAGTTACATATCGTGCTCTTCATATTATAATAAAATCTTAGCAAAAGATAATATTATAACACTAGTAGAAAATAAAAATTGCTTTCAAAATTAATTAAAAAGAATATTTTAGAGTATACAAATCTTATTAAGGATTTCTCTTAATTTACTTTTCGTATTTTCTTTTAAATACAACTTTGATAGCTTTTCTATTCCTATTTCCATAGTAAGTTTATTCCACACCGACCTCTATTTCTATGCCTATTGTTCTGTTTATTTATCCTCTATCAGCCTTTTTTTTATCTATACTCTATCAATCTCTATTTCTATACTTATTATTTACTTCAAATTTTATTAAAATACAGCTCTTATAACCGCATACTTATAGCATATTGTAACTGTCACTCCATTTATTCATTTTGAAAGAAATCTTCTTACTTTAAGAAAGAAAATTGTCTTTTTACTGCCTTACGTTCTCAGATAAACCTAATTGATTACGTAAACATTTAAAATAACTCTAACATATATTGCATGACATTTTTCCCGTATTTTTTGAAATGTAAGGGTATAATAAAATTTCAACCTTTTATGAAGACTATTTATTTACAAAGTAAAAGAGGACCAACGGAAAACGGGTCACGGAGAGTTTGGTAGTTCTATAAGTTAATACTATATGTTAGACTTTTCTTGTAGCTAAAGCATTATTAAACAGTATTAAAAACAGTTTAAAAGCTTTTTTTATACTAGTTTTGGTGAATTTCATTGGTCAACAAAAATAAACTTTTTTTCTGTTGCATTAGATATATAAACTGATATTTATCTATTTTTAAACGCTGAGCCTAAATACACTTTGTTTTTGTTGGCAAGCTCTAATTTTTTTGCGATAACCAATTTATTAATTTTTAAAATTATGTTATTACAGGTATTTTCATTCAACAGTTATGAAAAAAATAACCATGTAATTGTTTTTTTCAGATCAATTGTATAATATGATGGCTTCTTTAAATCGATATAAGTGCAAGTATAGTCCTAACTCGTTTTTTATATCTGTGGTATACACTTGTACGACAAGCACGAAACATAACTTCTATTGTAAAACAAGCATATAAATCGCATTTAGATATTAATCTTGATGACCAAGACATAAAGTGGGCTTCACATACTGTGTTCTAAATTGGTGAAGAAAGTCTTCGAGACTGGACAAAAGTAAAAAGAAAGAGTTTATCTTTTGGAGTCCCCATGGTTTGGCAAAAACCCCTAAACCACATTAATGTCTGCTACTTTTGTCTTGTTGATACTACTGGTATTGGCAAAATAAAAAATAGCTTATGCTAATATTCTTTCTACTGTTAGACCAATTCAACATTCTGACAGGGTTCCAGTTCCAATTTTTAAAGGTTCATTTTTGCCAGAGGATGAACAAGCATGTCTGCTCCAGAAACAGAAGATTTTTTTATCAGAATTAGAAGATTTTTTATCTAATACTAAACAATTCAATTTGCTTCTGTGCTTTAGTCAGATAGAAATGAATAACTTATTTCGTGTTTTATAACTTTCTAAGAATGCAGTAGAATTATTAGCGTCTTGATTAAAAGAAAAAGAACCTACTTGATAGCTTTGCAAAAATTTCTTACCTTAGAACAAGAGATAAAACCTTTACTAGCTTGATTAAATACCACGAACACAACTAGTTTATTTGTGTAGATCTAAAAATTTCCATTTTATCTCTGTATGTGGGACAGTCGAGCGAGAAACCACTGGATGCAAAAAGAATGGTCTGTTCGCAACGCTCTCAAAGTGAGCATGCAAAATATTGTGAATGAACCCATTGTAAGTTAAAAAGAAATAGTTTTACCATCACTTTATCTTAAACTTGGGTTCATGAAGCAATTTGTTAAAGCACCGAAAAATGATAGTGATTACTTTCCGTATATAGGTACAGCATTACCAGGTTTGTCATTAGAGAAAAAAAGGCAGAAGTTTTTAATGGGCCATAAATTTGCTGTCTTATAAATAATAAAGAATTTATTAAAACAATGAATAGCAAAAAGAAAACGACTTGGTTGTCATCTGTGGTTGTTGTAAAAAACTTTCTTGAAAATAAAAAAAAAGGAAACTATGCAGATTTAGTTGATAAAATGTTGAAAGCCTTTGTAATCTTGGATACAAAATGAGCATAAAATTTTATTTTATAGACAGTTATATTTACCAGTTAGAAAAATTTGGAAATACAACTGAAGAGCAAGGAGAGCAATTTCACCAAGGACGTAATTTAATGATTATTAATCTATGACGTAAATTTTAGCAAGCAGAACAATCAAGGCAGGGAATTTTGATTCATTTCAAATAATAATTTTTTTTTCTGTTGTTATTTAGGTGCCCCAAGAATACCTAACCGTCTTGTCACAGAGTATCGCGGAAGTGCATTTAACCGGAAAGTTCACGCCTCCTTTACCGTGACGCGAAAATATGTCCAAGGCTTGTTTCGAACCTGAATCTCCTGCTTATAAAGCAAGCGCTCTAACCACTGCGCCACGGCCGCAACAATTATTGAAATAACCTTTAATAAATAAATTTATTTTATTATTTTAGCGAAAGCATTAGCAGCTCAGTGATTAGGTGCATCGTTCTCTCTAAGCTGAAAGGTGAGAAAAAGCTAAAAGCTGTTGTACCTAAGGTCTGACTTCGCTAAAAGGTGGATTGTAAAAACGAGCGTAAAATTTGTCAACAAATATCTCGAGGAAATAGTACAAGTTCTCTGAAAGACTAGCGACTAGTGAAACCAAAAGCAACACAAAGCAACTGTACAATATCAACATATGATCTATAACGTTACAAGGCTTTAGAACAAGATTTTAATTCGTATTGACTGCGTTCAAAAGACTTTGCAGGATCTTAAAATGAACTTTCATGATGCAGCTATAAATTTAAAAGCTCTCCAAAATTATTTTCATGATGAAAGAGAAGTGTTAGTTAGTGTCACTGAAAGCAGGGATTTGAATCTGAAAACAATTTTGGATTTTAGAACGCTACTTACAAGCCGTTTCGGAAAAATATTAGGCTCAGAACAATTACTTAATTTTAAAGATAAGTATGGAGATGAAAACGTTATTTCCAATATGCGTATAGCATTG